TTAATGGTTCCACTTTTTAAAAGGCCAAAAATACCAGTAGAGCTCTATTTGTGTAAAATTCTTTATAAAGAACGTTAGTGCTATAACTTTATAATTTTGACCCCCCCTCAGGATAGTTTAGTGGGGGCATCAAACACGAAACATGGTGATAATCCGTTTTTCATCTTTACAGCACATGCACGGCGTTCGAGTGCTGCCGCCGCGTGTTGGGAAGCATTACAGCAGCGTAATTAACGGAGTGGGTGGTTTCTTCCGGGCAGGGCTGAGAAAATGTCAGCGAGCCAAAAACGGGCGGATAATACAAATCCGGATTAACTGGTAACATTAACGAAAAATTGGCGACCTTAAACAAAAGTAAGTTTACATATGTATGTGAACCATTATAGAAATGTTAATTGCTTTCTTTTATATTCTATATTTTTTATCTGTAAATAAACATTGAGATGATCTGTTCAACTTTGTGAAGTCATTCAGATTGCCCTTTTAACTGCACAAATGGAGTGCTTCTAATGTGCATTAAAGCCATACATGACTGAATGAAGTCGACTTCAAAACCATCCAACTTTAATAAATAAAACAATGACAACCAATGCAGTACCCTGGGTGTGCCCTGTCTCCTGGGGCTCCCCTGTATGGAGTAAGTGATCATGCGGATGAATAGTTAATATTAGTATAGTACTTAATTAAACTAATACTGTGCAATAATGATCAGGGGTGCTGTAAAGGGGGGAATGTCAGTGATATGGGCCCTAAAAAATGGGAACATTCACTGTCAGACAAAAGTACCAATGTGTACATTTAGGGCCTAATGGTTAGGGAGGTGCACTTATAATTGAAAGATTGCTGGTTCAACTCTGAGCAAGGTACTGGCACTGAATTAGCTGCCCCCTGCTGTGTCATGATGTCACATATGGGTTAAATGAAAAAGAAACATTGTGCTGTGGTGTGTCAACAATGATTACTGATCACCTAATTCTACAGTTATTTGTTATTGGGTTGTGCTCTGCTGGTTCTTTGGTACAAATGAGGGGAGCCAAGTCATACTTGAGAGCCTGTCAGAGTCAGTGCCCTCTGATCCCTACTCCAGTGACGCTTCCCCATTTGGCCAGCAGGCATTGCTGGCCATTATGCCTTTCCCCCTCGCTTAGTTCCTAGTCTTCTTTAATGTGTTTCCCCCATTCCCCCGACTGCCACACAATGTAGTTGGCCGAGCATGAGGCTCAGTCTGTAAACCTGCAGGTTGTGGGTTTGAGGCTGGCACATCCATACCTCACCTGTTCTGTATTTTGTTTGACTTTTGTCCTCCAGTGTTTGTAGTTGTGGTTTTCCTGGTGTTTATTTTCTATCATAGTTCTCCTATCTATGGTCCCCTTCCCTGTGTTAGGATTTGGCTTTTTGTACTTAGTTTTGTATCAGTCTTGTATTTCTAGTGTTTGATTAGTGTTTTCTAATTCAACCTTCCTAAATTTGTGATCTCTCCCTGGTCTTTAGTTTCACCTTTTGCTCATATTGTGTTCTCTCTGCTTGCTTGTTAGGTTAATACTTCTCTCCTGTGTCCTCATTAGCTTAGTCTGGTTTGTGTATTTAAGTTCCTGCCAGTTAGTCCTTGTGTTAATTTGTGTCAGAAAGTGCTGTTTGTTGCTCTTTTCCCCTCATTGTTACCTTTTTGGATATTTTTGTAGTTAATTCTTGTTTTTCCGCCCTCGTCGTTCTGTTACTTTGTAGTTTACCCAGTGTGTTCAGTATCCCCAATAAACCCCTCCCTCTGTTGTCTTGGAGCCGCAAAGTGTATTGTTGCCTACTTTATGCCGACACCATGCCCTGGCATGACAGAGCTATTGTTTTTATTGTTGTTTCCAAATTTCCCTGCCTGCACTAAATCCACTCCACTCCCCTTTAGTGGTCAGTGATAACCAGCTGGGCATAAGAGGCAGACACTGTGGTGTTAGGTTCCTTAAAGACAGGATGAGCTAGACTGGGGCCAATAAGAGCTTTTCTGATAGGCCTATTAAGTGTTGCACGAATTGCACTCAAGGTAAGACATCTTTATCTCCATGAAACATTTCATAGAGGGTAAATTCAAAACAGTAAATTCACTGACAGCAGAGGGATATGGCAGCCACTTGTATAACGTTCAGGATGCAGATCATTGACAGTAGGTCTGCCAATGTGAGTGATTAGCACTGCTAACCCTAGTCCACACGTGGGAAATTAAAATATATTGCATTTATCATTATTTATTTGTCATTTGTGTATAAAAAACTTACCTATAATAAATATATTGCACAAGAATTCAACTTCTGTCTTGCATAATGACACCAAACGTAATACTGTAATATGATAGTCAAGTATAAGTAGGCCTATTAAATTTTACTAACCATTAATAACCACTAATTAATTAACTAACCATTCATACATTCTGTCCCAAAAGATATTACATTCTGACCCAATATTACAGGTGTAGAAAAGATGTTCCTGAGTTTCAATATCTTCTAGACAAAACGTGCATACATCACAGTCCAAATTAAATCTTACTTTTAATAATTTCTCGCATGGGTAAATATAATTAATTGTTTTGAAATTAACTTCTTTCATTTTAGGTAAGAAAGGAAATGGTAAATATCTAGATCGAACTTTCATAGTGTCCATTTTTGAAAACCTTTGAAATTAAGTGTTTCTTTTAATTTCATTTGAACGTATGTTTGGCGCGCCGGGGGCGGGGCCATGATCCCGGCTGATTACGGAAAGGCCTTGGATTTCGCTCCCCGCTTGTCAAACTTTACCACCAGTAACACCTCACCCCGGTCTAGGCTGTGACATTCCCGCTGAAACTCCTGAAGCTCCCCCTGTCTCACTTCTGTTTTGTTAAAAATCTGTATGTTTAAATTGCGCTTGAATTACCTTCCTGTTTCCTACTTCGCACTTATTTGCTGATGAAAAACGTTCGGCTATTTCATCATCATTGACGTTGTAGGGCGCTGCCAGCCTCAAATACTCCACCACGGCTGTTTCAACGCTGCCCTAAGGCTGTTTTATAAACCCCGGTTAAATTTCTTAAGAATACAAAAAAAAAGCTAATGAAAAGCGTAACTTCAGTATTGGTTAGGCTGTGTTGTAGCCTGGTTGGTAACAGAATGCCAAGTATGTAAAAAAGAGTGCGATCGGTTATTTTGTTTAGCGTGCAGCCCTGACGAAACTGAATCACACTTTACAGTTTTCTCGCATCACTTCACCCATCACCGTGCCCATCATCGTACTTATAGCCTGCACCAATCCACAATATATTTATATCTCACTTGTACCATCTGCTATCGAGTCATAGGATTGCCATGAAAACAATAAATCTGTAAAATAATAAGAACATAAATGTCGAGTAAGAAAATAAAATACAAATAAAAGAATGAGAAAATAAATTCAACGTTTATGTTCCTATTCTTTTACAGATTTGTCATTTTTATTGCACTCCTGTGACTCCATACATGATTGTGTTAAAAAGTTATTAAAAGTGTTATGTTTTATGGTGTTTCACAATGTTGCAGCCCCGAGCAATACAGGTAATTCTGAGCTAGATGGCGATAAAGACGCGCCGTTGGACTTTTCGGGGAGTCTGTGACGCGTTTTCTCTGTCGAGTACTCCGAGCAGCGCTTCATTCAACAGACATCAAACTATGGATAGGTTGGGAGAGCCGTGCACCCTGTAGGAGAATCACTGCGACTATCCCTCAGACCACATGTGAAGGCTTAACGTCGACTAAAAGATCCTGTCATTGATGCCTGTAGCGGGACGATTTAACCACGGACTATCCACAAAACCTCGCTAAAGCTGAATGAAACTATGTCGAAGTTAAAAAAACGGAGTAATCACTTGTCGCCAGATCGCGCAGAGGAGGAGAAGGGAGCCCTGGAGAAGACGTTGCCTTCCGAGAGGCATGAAAACGGGCACGCAATACAACCGAGTGTCACGGAGGAGGGAAAGCCGTCCACTGAGTCCGGCAACATTCCGGAGGATACGGTGGTCCTGAAGAGGACCATCACCCTGGTGAACGGCGTGGCCATTATCGTGGGCACCATCATCGGCTCAGGCATATTCTTAACCCCGACCGAGGTGGTGAAAGAAGCCGGTTCGGCTGGGATGTCACTGATCATATGGACCGCATGCGGCTTGTTCTCCATGGTGGGCGCTCTCTGCTACGCCGAGCTCGGCACCACCATCTCCAAGTCGGGAGGAGATTATGCCTACATCCTGGAGGTATACGGTCCCTTTCCGGCTTTCTTGAAATTGTGGATCGAGCTGCTGATCATCAGGCCGTCTTCGCAGTACATCATCGCCTATACGTTTGCCACCTACCTTCTGAAGCCCCTCTTCCCTGGCTGCCCGGTCCCCGAACAGGCGGCCAAACTCATCGCTTGCTTATGTGTCTGTAAGTTTCCGAGAGGACAAACTCGCTCACCAACTACGTGAACACCTACTTTTACGACGGTTGTCTTTATTTCTGAGCGCGTTTCATTCATTTTTGGATGTTTGAAAGTCATAAGAATCGTACCTGTCACTATCCTCCTTCGCACGTGTTTGAGGTGCTATAGTGAAATGCTTCCTGCTGTTACATCAGCCGTGTACTGAGGCTGCGCAATGCACATAGGCTCATACACACACAGGGCTGTTGACTAATATAATATTTATTCTTGCTTTGGGCAAAGAACGCATTTGCAAGGATGAGCCGGGTAATAGATTTAGGTGTACTGTATCAGGTGAGGTACTTTGGCAATGCGTATTTACATGTGCAGCATGGCATTCAGTGGTACCGTGTCTCTGTCTCACTCAGTGCTGCTGACTGCTGTTAACTGCTGCAGTGTAAAAGCAACAACGAAGGTCCAGAACATCTTCACAGCATCCAAGCTGCTGGCCCTGAGCGTCGTGATCATCCTTGGCCTCATTCAGATTGCCAAAGGTGGGGCACTCAAACTACCCTGAGAAACACTCTCTACAGTCAGGAATTTGTCAGTATTTGTCAGTTAGCCAGATCTGTCAGCTAATCTCACACCCATTACACACCTCGCACACTGAAAAAATAAAACGCTGAAAATGTTGAATCAACTTAAAACATTTGAAGAAATTGCTCACATGAATTATTTGAAGTTGCCTCAATATAATTTTTTTATTCAGTTTATCCTGTAAAAGATAGGTTAATAAACACAAGATAGTTACATTTAAATGAACAAAGAAATCATTTTCATCTGTTGGAATGAGGAAAAAGCACATTGAACAAATGACAGCTTTGGGTTTTTTTTCAGTGCAAGAATTGGAATTTAACTGCGTTTATGATTCTTTTCTGCTCAGCTAAACACAAACAGGACTGAACCAAGCTCCAAACAGAATGTATAACACAATACACAACTCAGCTACAAAGTAATACTAAGTAATACAAAGTACAGCTCAGCTGCACGATCCATAGAGCCAGGTGGAGCTGAACCCATGTACTGCTCTATGGGATGCAGGGTCATGGGTCAAAACCATGCTTTCTTACTCTCTCAGGTGAAGCTCAAGGCCTCAGCTTACAGAAGTCATTCGAAGGGACCAATTGGGATGTTGGGGATATCGGCTTGGCTTTGTACAGCGGCCTTTTTGCATATGGTGGTTGGTAAGTACAGCAAAGTAGAAATGGACTCCTACATTTACAGTGTAAAGTTAAGGGCACCTATACATACATCAGTAGTATGGTTAGAGAGACTGGTCCTAATCAGGTTCAGTGTGGTTTTGGGTCCTTATAGAGCAGGAATTCTCAACCTTGCCTGGCTTTTAGCAGCGTGCTGGGGGGTGGGGGCTCCACCTTGTTCATTGTTACTGACCGGGGGTCATTTTTAAAGTCTGGTTATTGGGTCACCCATTACGGACCAAATCACATTTACCAGTGTTTGAGAAACCCTTTTATAGAGGATCAGTCTGTAGCTATTAATATAACTGACTGGGTTAATATTGACTCATTAGGATGTAGATTACTACATTCTGAAAAGATTCTTAATATCTAATTTTTGTTCCCTTGCAGGAATTATTTGAATCTTGTCACAGAAGAAATGATTGAGCCTTACAAGTGAGTGTCGTGTTCCTCCGGGCTAATGATGTGTGGCACGCATGAGAGAGCTCCGTTACTGGGCACCTTCTCTCAGCTGCAGTCTTCCCTACCTTGTGTGCTTTACCTTCACCTGTAAGCTTTTCACGTGATCACTATAGTGACAGGTGACGTGAGCGAGCCAATGCCTTCTCCTCTGTCCAGGAACCTCCCACGGGCGATCATGATCTCTCTGCCTCTTGTGACCATTGTCTACGTGCTCACCAACTTGGCCTATTTCACCACGCTCACCCCGGAAGAGATGCTGCAGTCTGAGGCTGTTGCTGTGGTGAGTGACAGGTCATGTGCACACTGATGTGGAAGACCAGTCGATGACCGGCCAATGCCCTGAGACCTCTCCTTACCCTCCAGGACTTTGGGAATTGGCACCTGGGTCCGATGGCCTGGATGATCCCCGTGTTTGTGGGTCTGTCATGCTTTGGCTCTGTTAATGGGTCACTCTTCACCTCCTCCAGGTACGTTAGACTGACACATAGAGTCATTGACTTTAATTTGATTCCTTAGTCTATGCAAACAAAATTTTTAAAAATACTTCTATTTGAACGTACTTTACAAAAAAAAAATATATATTTTTTTTTTAGCTGTTCTTTTCCAAAAATGTCACTTGACTGGTAAAATAAGCTGCTCCCTTGAACACATCTTTGCTCATTGTGTCCTCTCAGTCCTTGTTGACTGGAACACTTGACTTGTAGGGAAGTTGCATAATCTCTAACTGACCCTTTGGTTTCTCTGCAGGCTTTTTTTTGTAGGTGCCCGTGAAGGTCATCTGCCCAGTTTGCTCTCCATGATCCAGCCCTCTCTGCTGACCCCTGTGCCATCTTTGATCTTCACTGTAGGTATCTCCATTCTGATATACGCTCTTTTAGATGTGTGGAATTAGGTGTGTGTGTGTGTGTGTGTGTATCACTACTTACAAGAGGCATTTTTCCCCATACAGTGTGTTATGACGCTGCTCTATGCCTTCTCCAACGACATCTCCTCCGTCATCAACTTCTTCAGCTTCTTTAATTGGGTCTGCATTGCCATGGCAATCATTGGCATGATGTGGCTGCGTTACAGAAAGCCTAACTTAGATCGGCCAATCAAGGTGAATGTGGTTCCAGCACCCATCAATTCAATTCAATTCTTTTATTGTCATATGCACAACTACGAGTACCATGTACAATGAAATGCTTACTTGCATGTGCCCCTGCAGACGGTGAACATAGACAAGACAACAAAAAAAAAAAACACACGATGCACTGGGAGTGACTGTTTTCTGCTTGGTTGGGGGTGGGGGGATAATGGCCTAGCAGAGGCTTAGACACCTCCTGGAGGTGACTAATAACACATCATAGGACTCATTTCCAGAAAAATTGTCCCAGTTTTATAGAGAGTGCTGGTGCAAAACAGACCAGTTCTTTGTTGAAGAATAGCTGAAGAAGCACTACCCTACAGAGGTCTGGGAGAATATCCATTAAATGCCCGGTCAGATTTGGCTCCAGCAGGCCATTCGTGAGTGTCCCCTTAGCCATTGGTGTGTGTGTGTGTGTGTGTGTGTGCATGTGTGAGTGACGTCCTGTTTCTACTTGTTTTTGTACAGGTTCCTCCACGGTGTTTGGTCAGAAGCTCTTGGATGTCGTTCCCCAGGATCTCCGAGTGGGATCATGCTGTCTGTACCCAATCTTGCAATGCATGGTGGATCAGCAGCTGCGCAGACTCTGCTGCCCATTTCTGCTTACATTCCAGTTCACATTCCAGCTCACATTCCTGTTCTGTCCCCTACGGGTATTCCTACTCTGTCTGATACTCCTGCCATTCATCTTTCGTCTTCACTGGAGGGAGATTCTCAGAACATCAGACTTGGAGAATTATTTTTACAGTGAGATTAGAGTTACTTGTACTAATGAAAGACAGACAAAAACAGAGATGAAAAGTCTGGAAAGGAGATGAAAAGTTGGATAGGAATAAGCATGGAGACGACCAACAATACAGAGAATAACATACAATCAAAAATAATGATGATAAGAACCAGTATTTCTGACAATGTTTTGGAATTCTAAAGAAGATGAGCAGTTTTAAGTTGTTACTTGCAAAAACATAAACTGCTGGAGTTGTTCTGCTGGTTGAGCAGCCTAAANTCTTTAATTGGGTCTGCATTGCCATGGCAATCATTGGCATGATGTGGCTGCGTTACAGAAAGCCTAACTTAGATCGGCCAATCAAGGTGAATGTGATTCCAGCACCCATCATGCACTGGGAGTGACAGTTTTCTGGTTGGTTGGGGGGGGGATGACCTAGCTGGAGCTTAGACACCTTGTAGAGGTGACCAATAACCCATCATAGCACTCTATTGCAGAAATATTGTCTGAGTTTTATACAGAGTGCTGATTCAAAACAAAGCAGTTCTTTGTTGAAGAATAGCTGAAGAAGCACTACCCTACAGAGCTCTTTAGAGGAAAAGAATATCCATTAAATGTCCGGTCAGATTTTCCCTGGAACAGGCAGCTTTACCAAACAGTTTCAAAGTGATTACAAACATCCTCATGTGACACAAATCCCTCTCAATGTACTGTAACTACTGCACTTTGGCCTTCAGTGCTGTCCTACCACGGTAACCGCAGTATCTTTGGGCAGGTGAACCTTCTGCTGCCGGTGAGCTTTGTGTTGGCCTGCTTATTCCTCATCGTGGTATCCTTCTGGAAGACGCCTGCAGAATGTGGCCTCGGAGTCATTGTCATGAGCACGGGCATCCCCTTCTACTACTTCGGTGTCGCCTGGAGCAACAAACCCAAGTGGCTCCAGCAGGCCATTTGTGAGTGTCCCCTTAGCCATTGGTGTGTGTGTGTGTGTGTGTGCGTGTGCATGTGTGAGTGACGTCCTGTTTCTACTTGTTTTTGTACAGTTTCCTCCACGGTGTTTGCTCAGAAGCTCTTGGATGTTGTTCCCCAGGATCTCTGAGAGGGATCATGCTGTCTGTACACAATCTTCCATACCGTGGTGGATCAGCAGCTATCCCACCACCTCTCTGGGGGATGAAGGCTCAGTCAGGGTCCTGTGGCAGCCCGGGATCCTGAACTCCTTCCATGTTCCTTCTCATGTCTCACTTTCCCACTCAGACTCTGCTGCCCATTTCTGCTCACATTCCAGTTCACATTTCAGTTCACATTCCAGCTCACATTCCTGCTCTGTCCCCTACGGGTATTCCTACTCTGTCTGATAATCCTGCCATTCATCTTTCGTCTTCACTGGAGGAAGATTTTCAGAACATCAGACTTGGAGAATTATTTTTACACTGAGATTAGAGTTGCCTGACCATAGGGTTGCAAAGGGGAGGTAAATTTCCAGAAACTTTCCATCCCATGGGAAGTTTAGCTGGCGAGTTTTAGGAATATTCCAAGTTGGAAACTTTCAGTGGGAATTACTGGGAATATATTGGAATTAATGGAAAATTCCCAGAATTTTGCAACCTTAACTGTACCAAAGAAACACACAGACAAAAACAGATGAAAATTCCTAAGCTGGGTAGGAATAATGAGAAGAACCAGTATTTCTGGCAATGTTTTGGAATTCTAAAGATGATGAGCAGTTTTATGTCGTTACTTGCAAAACATAAACTGCTGGAGTTGTTCTGCTGGTTGAGCAGCCTAAATGCATAGGAACACTAGCTTTCAGGGAATCATTTATTCTTTAGATGATATTTATTGGAAAAGTGCCAAATCAATGTGTCATGAAATGTATTTATTTTTGCAGCATTCCGTTCTTTTATAATGAAACATATAGGATTTAAAATATGAATGTACAGTATAGTGTCTGTATGGCATAAATGAAAAATCCTGCAACTGGACAGCAGAAATGGAAATGAAGTTACATTATACTGTATATACGGTGTCTTGCAGAATATTAATGGTTCCACTTTTTAAAAGGCCAAAAATACCAGTAGAGCTCTATTTGTGTAAAATTCTTTATAAAGAACGTTAGTGCTATAACTTTATAATATAGATCTCCCTCAGGGACAACAAACACCAGACATGGTAATTGCCTATTTTTCATTTATACAGCACACGCACGGCGTTCCAGTGCTGCCGCCGCGTGTTGGGAAGCATTACAGCAGCGTAATTAACGGAGTGGGCGGTTTCTTCCGGGCAGGGCTGAGGAAATGTGTAACGAGCCGATAAGGGGCGGATAATACAAATCCGCATTAACTGGTAACATTAACGAAAATTTGGTGACCTTAAAAGATTTTTTTATCTGCAAATAAAGATTATGATCTTTTCAACTTTGTGGAGTCATTCAGATTGCCCTTTTAACTGCACAAATGGAGTGTTTCTAATGTGGATTAAAGCCATACATGACTGAATGAAATCGACTTCAAAACCATCCAACTTTAATAAGTAAAACAACGACAACCAAACAAGTACTCTGGGCTTTGATTCTAATAACATTACCAGTTTAGTGGGTAGGACCTAGCCTCCCCCATCTGATCAACCTGTGAAAATGGGACGGAAGATGACAAATGACATATAGCTTAATTAAATTTTGCTTAGGGCCCCGAAGAATGTTGGGATTGGCGTTGCCGACACCTCCGAGGCAGAAGGGTCTGATTTCTGGGTCAGTGGGTGTGGAATTTGTTCATGTGAGAACTTATTCTCTAGATACTCTGGTTTTCTCCCACCAAAACATACAGTGATTTGAACTGGTGTCTCTTAAATGCCCACATTGTGCGAATGTGCATGCCCAGGGTGTGTTCTGTCTCCAGCATAGGGTAAGTCATCATGAGTAGATGGATGAATACTTAATATTAGTGTAGTAATTCATTAAACTAATACTGTGCATTAAAGATCAGGGGTGCTGTAAAGGGGGGGGGGCATTAGTGATAGGTGACCAAAAAATTTGGAACATTCACGTGTATCAAAAAAAGTACCAATTTGTTCCTTTGAAGGTACAATTACTTGTTACTGGGGTTGTACCCTCAAGGGTCTGCCAGTTGTACCCTAGCTGTAGGTACATCTACCTTGTAGTGTAATTTAAGGTACAGGAATGGACCCTGAGGAACGTCCCCAAGGTACAAACATTCACTCATGTACTCCCAATGGTACAGAAATGTTCCTCAGAGTTCATTTCTGTATCTTAAAAGGTACAAGTACTTACAGATATAGGGTACAATTGGCATACCTTTGAGGGTACAGCCCCAGTGACAAACAAAGGTACAAATTGGTACTTTTTTCTGACAGTGTTCTTGCACCTATTTCAATATGATTGCATTGCTGTTCATGACCAGAACACCAAAGTAATCAAACCACAAAGAAAATTCTCTGACCAATGTGAAGTGAAACTTAAATCATGTAAAAGAAAGTAAATTCTGAAAAAGTGCCCTGGATGGCTCAGAAACTTTGAATTGAGTAAAATGTGGCCCTGAAGTACATTAATGTTGTTTGTACCTTACAGAACAAAACTGTACCAGGGCTGTACCCTTTTTTCTGACAGTGCAATGGATTGGTCTAGGTTGGGGGGTCCAGAATGATATGCTTCCCTGGATCCCAAAATCTCTAGCGAGTTTAACCACAATTTCGAAACGAACCGAAACAAATCAAATTGGTTATATCAAATTAAAGTAGGCTAAAACAAAGCACCGGAGATAGGGTTTGTCTGAATCAGCGGCACACCTATTCGCATTAAATAGTGCACAAATACTAGTGGAAATGTGGAGAAGGGTGGGGGGTGGCTCTCTTAAATAAATGCGTTCCTTTATCATTAAATATTCACTTTTAAAATATTTAAACCTGGATTGACGAGTCCTTTAACTGGGCTGTTGTTAAGGCTCCGAGTACATGGATGCCAACAGGATAAATTACACAGGAGGGAGATCATTAGCAGTGGCTGCGCCTGATATTTCGCACAACCCGCTATCAAAACACGAAGCCTGCATTTCAAACGTACGCCGAAAGATGGCAGACAAGTCCAGTAAAGCCTCAAACTATACAAGGAACGTCTTTAAAAGTTAGAGCTTTATCCCCTGGCTTGCCGTTAAGAGGCGCCCTGACTCAGGAAGACGTGCACCGCCCAGGAGTTGCCGGTGCGAGCGGCCACTTTTCTCAGAGAGAAGGCGGTAGTGTTGCACATTTTGCTCTGGGGGAGCACATAGTATCTACCTTCGCCCAGCTCGCTCTGATCCGTCCGGATCCAGGACTCTTCTTACACCCTGAACTTTTGCTGATTTCCACCTTTCCATCTCATTTAGAAAACATGGCAACACGAGTTGACAAAGAAGCCTGCAGGGAAGCTTACAATTTGGTCAGAGACGATAACAGTGGCATTTGCTGGTGAGTTTTTCTTTCACGGTCATTTACCGCACCTTGTCGTGGGTGTGAATTTGTAAGGCAAGCAACAATTTGCCTAGTTTCTTACAACTTTCATTCATAATTCAAAACCCGTCACTTGTATTTTTGCTGAAAACTTTGTCGCCCTCCTGTGAAAGCCTGTGGGTCTTTACCGCAGGCTGCTTCATCCTGGGGGGGGGGGTCATTTCGCCCCGCACCTTTAGTTTTCACTGCTTAATTGCTTGGTTATCATTTATTTCTGTGTATTTCATTATTCGATTTGTCATGTCATTTAAGGGCTTCCTTTAAGTACGACGGTTCCATGATCGTGCCTGGAGGTCACGGGTCCGATTACAGCGAGTTTAAGCAGCAGTGCACAGGTAAGTCCGCCGGTCCGCTGAAAAGATCTGCATCTTCAGCATGTCGGTTGCCCGCTGGAGCGAAACCTTCGCCCGTGGGTTTTGCGCTCTCTACAAATGGCTGCTGAGAGAGTTTGTTTTAGAACGGAGTTAAGTGTTAAGGTGATGATACGCAGGGCAGATTTTGAGCAGTGTTGCTGGACACCTGCTACCCAGGTGAAACAAAGGGCAGCTCATCTGCATCTAGATGATCGTGAAAAGTTGCCCGCTGCAAATCAGAGTTTTTCAGAGAAATGTATTGCCCAGTATCAATGGGAAAGTGTCCGAGCAACATTTCTCAGGATATTGATCTGTGTATTGTCACCCTTAGGCTCCGCCGTCGAAAGAGTTTCGATAAACCTTGCGAATCTCTTGGCAGTTTGACCCTGCAGTGTATAAGCCCACTGCGATGTGTGGTGCTCGGTGGTTGAAGCATGCATAACGCATCCGGGCTCCCCTAAACTCGGAAGTCTCTCTCAATTTAGTTCCTTGGTGTAATGTTTAGATTTAACTATGCCAACGTGTGCATGTGTGTGTGTCTGGATTTTTATATAATATAATGCATAAAAGAAATGTTATTTCCGAAGGATGCACATTGAATGAAAACAGTCATTTATACCCTGAGGCAGTAGCAAGGATTTGGATGTTTTTGAATACCTGCCAGGCTTTTCCAGAAGAGGGTGTAGCCTCACCCAACCAACAGCTCAAAACAGGCCTTTGTCTGAGCACTGAGAGACAAGTATCAGACATCAGCTGAATTCCCAGGAGGGTAGTGATGCAGTGGGGTATTTTGACAGGGTCTCCAGGGCATTGTGGTTGGTACTAAAGTCTCTGAGGTTGGCTTAAGCTCCGATATCATAGCTGTGTCTAATGGTACTTCATGTGTGCAACACACCATCAGAAAGTGCTTTGCAGATAACATTGTTGAAGTAGGAATCTCGCCCAAGAGGCCTCTGGCACCACGCTGTTTGTGCTGAACAGAAACGCTGCATTAGCACCCTATACCACAACTTCTGCTGTTTAACACGATCTGTTATTCCGGAAACATGTTGTTGTCTTAAGTCAGGAGTGGTTGTTCTGTTAACTGGTGAATGAGTTGGATTTCTGGTCTCTGCAGAGCCAAAAAGTGGCAGGAAGTGAGATCGGGAAGTGTTTTGCTGTGTCACCAGGGGAGCCTGGGTTTATTTCCTGGTTCAGTCAGGCGACATGGTGGTGCTCTAGAAAGTGCCGCTTTTTCTTTCCCTACAGTTCAAAGTTCTGCTTTATGGTTGGTTGAGCTGAACCAGCTCTTGGCTCGAAAGTCACGAGTGAGGGCCGACTGGGTTTATGGTTTAGTGAGCCGCCGAGGCCAGGTCAGTGTCTGAGGGTGGGGTCATGTAGAGAAACTCAATACGCTAACAGCCTTTGAAGCCTCATGGGTAGGGTAGTAGCTTGTGATTCAGTTTATACTGGTTAGTGCTCACTCTCAGGTGTGTGGGAGAAAATGCAAATCTGTATGCATTAATAATCTTTTTTTTTTGGCTGATATAACAGTAACTATGTGCTCAGCTCAACATCATCCTGAATATCCAGAGCCCATCTGGATGAACAGTGGTGAACATCAGCCAACAGCCCTCCAGTTGCTTACATGCGTGCTTCAGTGTAAATACACATTATAGGCTGGACCTAAACTGAACTGGCCATTCACATTGCAGGCCTAGACCTACAATGCTATTGGCTGTACACTCACCCCATTTTCCTGATTGGCTCTTCCAGTCAGGGCTTTGCATGTATCAGAAATCTCATGTTCATGTTTTGCCATAGCAGCTGGACGGCACACGTCTCATTTGCCGGCACTTTGACTCGCACATGCGCTCGTCCTGCTGCCCCTCCCCCTCCCGGCATGATTGACAGCTCTCTCGGGCCACCTCCTTAGATGATGTCCGCCTGTTTGGTTTCGTGCGGATCACGACGGGTGATGCCATGAGCAAGAGGGCGAAATTCACGCTGATCACCTGGATCGGGGAGAACGTGAGCGGCCTGCAGCGAGCCAAGATCAGCACCGACAAAACACTGGTCAAAGAGGTCATACAGGTATGTTCTCTTACACATGCATGCACACACAAACACACACCTAGCTTTGTTCCTGATCAATCTCTTATCTCTTCCCCCCTCCCCAGTACAGGACTCATACCTCCCAGTTACTGTAACCAATGATGATAATATCACCAAAAGTACAATCTGTGTGTCTTGTGGGGAAACTCCCAATGTGTTTGTCATTTATTTCTGCCCACACAAACACAAGTTTTCTTATTTCCTCTATGCTGTTCGTCAGAACTTCGCCAAAGAGTTTATGGTCAGCGATCCACGTGAACTGGAGGAGGACTACCTCCGAGAAGAGCTGAAGAAAGCTGGCGGAGCCAATTATGATGCCCAAACACAGTAGACTGGTGGGCGTGGCGATGCTGCCTGGGGGCGGAGTATCCAACCACAGCCAAGAAGGGGGTGGGGGCGACACGTGTTCAGCCAACACACACATCCGCAAAGATATCTTCTCTAACGTGGTCCTGCTTAACACCTGC